ATATATATATTAGCCAAGCAAAGAGATAAGAAAAAAAAATTAAAAATTTAGTTCAATTGTATAAAAGATGAAAATTAAAAAGTGATTATCTAATATCAGGATATTCAACATAGATTGATGAGATATTCTGATAAACTTTTTAATGAAGATTGTGAAAAATATGATGGATTTTAGTGATATTAATATTGTAAATAATAATATTTTTTTTTGTTATTACCGTAGCAATAGTAAAATGAAAGTTTAGTAGGCTTTAAAGGAAATGAAGTGTGATAATATACTAGGTTTTAATGGTATTCCAATAAAAATATAAAAATGTTTATAAGATCTTAAAATTTTTTTGACTTGCTAAACTTTTTAATATTATTTCAAAAACTAAAAAGATATCTAATGAGTGTAAAAAAGAATCTATTGATTCCTAATTTCAAAAATAAAGAGGAAGCACAATAGTGCAACTCATTGAGAAATTAAAAAAATGTCATATATTAAAATTATGAGAGAATAATTGAATATAAGTTTAGATGTGATATAAAAATTTCTCAAAATCAATTTAGATTCATGTCGGGCAAGTCTATTATGGAAGCTATATATGGACTGAGAGGTTTGATAGAGAAGTATAGAAATTATAAGAAATATCTACATATGATTTTTGTTAGTTTATAAAGAGCTTATGAAAATGTTCCAAGCGATGTTTTCTAGAAAGTTCCAAAAAAGAAAAGTTATGATGTTGCTTATATTCAAGTCATTAAAGATATATATACTAGAGATGTTACTTTTGTTCGAACACAAGAAGGATTGACCAAGTATTTTCCAATTTCAATTGGATTACATCATGGATCGGCTTTAAGCCCTTATCTTTTTGCTTTAGCTATGGATATTCTTACTGGATATTTACAGGAAGATTCACCTAGGTGTATGCTTTTCGTTGATTATGTCCTTCTTGTGGATAAAACTAAAAAGAAAATTTAGGAAAAACATGAATTATGGAGGTCAACTTTTTAGTCTAAAGTCTTTTGTTTGAGTAGATCTAAAACTAAATACATGAAATGTAATTTTAGTAGTAGATCTAGTGGAATTCAAGTCATTAAAAGGAGATATCTCGGATCTTTTGTTCAAAGTGATGATGATATAGATGGGGATGTAACTAGTAGAATTCAAGTTGGATAGTTGAGGTGGACGAATGCATTGGGCATATTGTGTAATAGAAAAGTACTGCAGGGACAAAGGAAATTTTTATAAGATGGTGGCGAGACTCACAATGCTTTATGACGCAGAATATTGGCCTATAGAATAGAAGCATAAAATTAAGTGTTGTTGGGATGAGAATGCTTAGGCAAATGCATGGCTATACACTTGTAAACAAATGTGAAACGAGATATCAATGAAAGGGTTGGAGTAGTTCCAATGAAAAACTAGATTAGAAAGAGTTGCATTAGATTGTTTCATCACATTTAACGTCGACTATCTGACGACCAAGTTAGGATAGTAGATGTTTTAGATTTTACGTATGTTAAGAAAGGTAGAGGTATACCTACAAAGGCTTGGGTTTATTATATAAAAAATGAACTTAATTTATTAGAATTAAATAAAAATAGAACATTCAATAAGACACGGGAAAAAAAGATTCATGTAGGTGACTCAACTTCGTGGAATAAAAACTTGCTCTTCTTGTTCTTGTTGTTGTTGTTGTTGTTGTGTTCTACCCATTTTATTAAATTAGCTTAAAATAGTTTTTAAACGAATTTAAGG